TTCCTAAGTAGGAGAAACTTCAGAGAAGGAGGAAGCCAAAGTTTCTTATCGCAGAAAAGAGACAGATATTATTGCACTCATTTAAAGGTTGCACGTCATTCCCTTGATAGATGCTTCAAGGCAAATCCAAATAGACCATCAAGCACTCACTACCAAATGCCAGGACATTTAGTAGATAAATGTTATAAACTCCATGCTTTTCCATCAGGGCACAAGTTCAGTGACAAAGGGAAATCTGCTGCTTACATGGTTTTTGTAGGATCAGGACTTAATCAAGGTATTGAAGGAGAAAGGTCAAATATCATTGAGCCAAGAGCAATACTCTCAGTTGATGGCACTCCTCAAGCCAACAACAAACTCTCAACAGCCAGCCTCTTCATCCAACAAAACTCAAACACTTGCTAACTCCTCCTCATCAGATGAGTTCAATCATAAACTATCTGGTATACCATTAAGTTTGACTGCTTTTCATCATAATCATGAAACCAATTTCAAAACACCATGGATTTAGATACTAGAGCAACAGATCACATGATCTGCTCTAGCTCCCTTTTTACATCTATGCAAGCTAAAATAGCATACTCTGTGGTTTTGCCAAACGAAAAAAAGGTTCCAGCCACACATGTGGGAACTGTCAAGATATTAGATTCTATAACTTTGCATAATGTGCTTTGCATTTCTAGCTTCACCTTTAATTTGATTTCAGCAAGAAAACTAACTCAATCTCTAAATTGTTGTCTTATTTTCTTCCTAATTGCTATTTTATCCAGGATCTTTCGACTTGGAGAACGATTGGAATGGGTGAGGTGAAAGATGGCTTATACCACATGGTGAACAAGTCAGCTTATACCACATGGTGAACAAGTCAGTATCCCCCTCGGCCTTGTCAAAGGCCTTCAAGTGTTTCAAATGCCTATCCTCTTCCTCTACATCTATTGCTAAGAACCATAAAGAATCAGATCTATGGCACTACAGATTAGGCCACTCTACTTATCCTAACTCCAGTCCTGATGAAAATCTTCACATCTCTACATCATCTAGTACCAATCAATATCCTATCTGTCCTTTAGCAAAGAAACATAGATTGCCATTTGGTGTTAGTCATCACAGGACAGTAGAATGTTTTGAATCAATTCATTGTGATATTTGGGGACCTTGTAATGAAATTAGCAGGGATGGTTCTAAGTATTTTCTTTCTATTGTTGATGATTTTAGTATATGCATATAAATTTATATGCTAAGTTTCAAGTCTGAAGCTGCCACGGGTCTACAAAATTTTTACACTTTGGTTGAAACTCAATTTAAGGCAAGAATCAAAACCATCAGAACAGACGATGGTGGAGAATTTTACATGATAGATTTTTACTTAAAAAAAGGGATAGTGCACCAAAGAACTTGTGTTGAAATGCTAGAACAAAATGCTGTGGTGGAGAGGAAACACTAACACATCTTGAATGTGGCAAGAGCCTTGACGTTTCAAAGTAGACTTCTTTTAAAATACTGGAGTGATTTTGTCTTGACGGCCGTATACCTCATAAATAGAACACCAACACCTAATTTAAATCACAAGACTCCTTTTGAAATTCTGTTTCAAATCAGGCCAACTTATAGTCACTTAAGAGGTTTTGGATGCCTTGCTTTTGCCACCACTCTCCTTAGTGGAAGACACAAGTTTGATCCTAGGCCTAGGGAATCTATCTTCATTGGATATCCTTTTGGAGTAAAAGGTTACAGGCCGCTGGATTTAAGAACCAAGAAAGTCTTTGTTTCAAGAAATGTGATTTTCAAAAATATCAGATCCAACAACTCTAAGCCCTCTGCTGATTTCAATCATTTAAGTTTCACGCGAAATCCTATTGTCTCCAATGATCATATAACCTCTGTGCCTGATAATACTCAGTAGCCTATAAACTCTATCACTGATGAAATTCAGCATTCTGAACATAACATTCAAAATGATTCATCATATACCCAATCTCTCAATCTCCATGAAGAAACCAATAATGATATCCCTGAGCCTATCACTAATACTTTAGAATCAAATCCTCCCATTGCAAGCCACTTGCCTCGCAGGTCAAGTAGAATTCGCAAGGCTCCCCCTCATTTGGAAGACTTCATGTGCCAACAGGCCTCTTCATCTCTCCCATTTCAGAAGTTCAGCAACGAGAAAGAAGATGGTATGACATGTAGTATTTTCCCTTTGAAAAAAGCATTTCCTATGAGGCTATAACAAGTTATCTACATCTCATCGTGCTTTTGCAATTTCAATAACTAATCATTCTGAGCCTAAAACTTACTAAGAAGCCATCACTTCCCCTGAATGGCATGCTGCCATGAGAGTTGAGATTGAAGCACTTGAGCTCAATGATACTTGGGTGCTAACCAATTTACCAACTCATAAAGAGGCTATATGATGTAAGTGAGTATATAAGGTGAAGTTTAATGCCAATGGAAGTGTTGAAAGATACAAGACGTGTCTGGTGGCAAAGGGATACACTCAACATGAGGGGCTTGACTATCACGAAACATTTTCCCCTATAGCAAAATTAACCACCATAAGATCTTTGCTAGCAGTAGCAGCAATCAAAGGATGGAGTTTACACCAATTTAATGTAAATAATGCCTTTTTACATGGAGACTTGGATGAAAATGTTTATATGGAATTGCCTCCAGGTTATCCAAATGACGATGGAAATAAGGTGTGCAAGTTATGCAAGAGTTTGTATGAAGCAAGCTTCACGCCAATGGTATTCCAAACTTTCCAGCTTCATTATTGAGCAAGGATATACCCAGTCAAAGGCAGATTATAGTCTATTTATTAGGCTAACTAATAGTAATTTCACCGTCACTCAAGTATATGTAGATGATATAATAGTTGCTGGTAATTGCATTGACTCCATAAATAAGCTCAAAGTTTCCCTTCATGAGGAGTTCAAAATCAAAGATCTAAGAAAATTGAAGTATTTTCTAGGCATTGAAGTTGCAAGTTCTAAAGAGGGAATTCACATATGCCAAAGGAAGTATGCTTTAGATATCCTAGCAGATTCAGGGACTATTAGTTCAGCTCTTGCTAGGATCCCTCTTAATCAGAATACGAAGCTCAGCAAAGATGAAGGAGAACTATTGCTTGATCCAGGCCTGACCTTGCATATTCGGTTCATTTGTTAAGTCAATTAATGGGGAATCCTAGAATCCCACATTTACACACTGCTCATAAGGTGTTGAGATACATAAAATGGGCACCTAGTGAAGGACTTCTATATCCTGCAAGATCAAAAATGCAACTAGAAGGCTATTGTGATTCAGATTGAGGAGCTTGTATGAACACTAGAAGATTAGTATCTGGTTATTGAGTGTTCATTGAAGAGTCCTTGATATCATGGAAATCAAAGAAACAACATGCAGTGTCTAGATCTTCAGCGGAAGCCGAGTATAGAGCAATGGCAAACCTTTGTTGCGAATTTACTCGGCTTGGATATTTGCGAAAGACTTAAACATTGACCATCCCCAATCGACTATCTTGAATAGTGTCATCCCCAATCAACTATCTTGAATTGTGACAATAAAGCCGCCATTCACATAGCCACAAATCCGGTGTTCCATGAGAAACAAAACACATTGAACTTGATTGTCATTTGGTTCGAAACAAGATACAAGAATGTAATGTCATCACTCAACATGTTCCTAGTGCATCACAAATTGTAGACACCCTGACTAAATCTCTGAATTCTCAAAATTTTTATTCTTGCTTATCCAAATATGGGAGTAATGAATGTTTACTCTCCATCTTGTAGGGGGCTATTGAAATTACCGGTTGAGGATCAGCTGAACAAGCTGGAAGACTACCAGTAGCAAGGAAGCCAATGTGGACAAGTGATAGAGCAACAACAGAGGAAGGATCTAAAAGGGAATTAGTTGAATCAATTTTCCATTTATTCTTCATGTAAATTAGTTAGGAAGTTAGTTAGAAAATTATTCCATTTCATTGTATTTACAGAGTCATGACTATACATTTTCGATAGCTTGAATTAATAGAATTTGATGAAGTGCATAAAGAATTAGAATTTATGATGAAGTGAAATCGTAAGGCAAAATAATGATTTCATGATAACTTCGGGTTTGTCCGTTTTTGGCGAATTGATAGTCTAATTTGATTGAAAACAGGCCAAGAATCACAACTCATCGCCTTTGGCCATAACGTACGTCGAATTTCCTGCAGATTCCATCATTTAGGCTCTCGATTAAGCGTTTTTGTCGTTTATGGTAATTTTTATTTTGAAAATATCTCATTCAATAAGATTTGGATTTGAATTCCGTTTATTGGAGGACGATCCTGAATATTAGGAATTTCTATTTAAGTCAAAATCTCAAAATTTTCTATTAATTAAAAAATATCGTTTTTTTAATTTTTATTATTTATTTTTCGAATTTTGCTAAAATTTTACTATTTAAAGCATTGGAAGCCATTTGAGACGGATCATTAAATTGAATAAGAATTTTCGTAAATTTTATCTCATTTTTGTGAGACTGTTCATTTTTCCTATAATTTTTCGTTATGTCAGAATTTCAGCTTCATTTCAATCATTCAATTTCAGAATTTTCTCATTACAAATCTAATAATTACAGCCTTGGGACTTTCTCCTTCCCTCCTATAATTTAGTTTATATGGTCAATCAACATGATGTGCTCCTCCCAATGGGCATGTTAGACAAACCTTTTAAAAGTGTACTTTGAAGATTTACTTAACGTGCAAATGCTTTATTTGACTACAAGTTTCTTCAAAAAGTTTTTCCCTAAAAATACAGAAGTAAAAGTAAAACTCAGAAAATAACATCAGAACCAAATTAAAGTTGCAAAAACTAAAATTTCTTCAACTCATGATTAATTGGTTAACTGACACACAACATAAATCCACCACCACTAACTTCAAATTACAGCTACTGCAAACGAAACTTCCATTACAGAGTAGATTTGTTTCTAATATATAATCTATACATCTATTAAGAGATTTTAACCTCAACTGTTTTGGCCTTGGGTGGCGGTGGCAGCTTCTCCACCACCACTGTCAACACCCCATTTTCACATTTAGCAGTAATGGCTGATACATTACAATTTTCAGGAAGTCGAAATTTCCTCAGTAGCTTCTGGGGTGTCTTCCTCTCTAGCCTTATGTACTTGCACCCTTCTTCTTCCCCATCTTCGCGTTTTCTCTTCCCGTTACTCTTGATTACTAGTGTATTCTCATCTACTGTAACCTGCAAACAATCCCAACAAAATTTAGATCAATCATCTCTAAAATATGAAATGGTTCTGAAAAAATAACAACATACTTGGATATCAGATTTAGGAAGACCAGGAACATCCACGTAGAATATGTATTCCTTGGGAGTGTCAAGAATGTCCACTTCCACTGGAATGGTAGCGTTCTCATTGCTTTGATGTGGGCGAGAAGAAGAAGAGAAACTTATTTTCTCAAGGGTCTCTGGGAAATTGAAGATGTGGTTCATTGCATCCACAACAATGCTCATTTTTGTGCCAAAAGATAGATGAGATTTACAGTTACTCTATTCAAAGAGAGAATTTTGATTGAATTACAGAAAAATGAGAGGGGAGTTATGGGGTATTAGTAGGGAAAATAAGGAAAGATCGAGATTACTCCATCTGGTATCTATTTTGTTCAAGAAAAGTCTAGAAAGGCCTTCCCAAATGGGTCACCTATCAAATTATAATTCTGAGCATCAGCAGCATCTGGGACCATACCGTAAGTAAAAAAGTTTGAAAACTCGCTCTTCTACAATCCAATTACATATTTTTTTAATAAAATAATATTACATACAAATTTAATTTTCTTTTTAATTAATGCATTCTCCGTTAATCTATTATTTCAAAATGTATTCTACACAAAAATAGGTCAAAGATGCCCGTGTGTGATCTTGAAAGGGAATCATCGAAAAAAGTAGCATACTGGTATTAACGGGGAGTTTGAGTTTATTTCAATGTTTATTGGAACGTAGAAAATCTTGTTGAATTCAACTATCTAGGACAAATCTATATGATTGTGTTGTTTGTGTTTGACAACCTTTATTTCGTTAAAAATCAAAATTTTTTTTTTGAGTAATGTTATTTATTTCTATTGGGTGTCAAAGTACGAATTTACATGACATATTCATTTAAATGCATAATCACATGAATTATTTAATTAAATTTATCAAATTTAGCCACCTAAATTGTTGCTTTTGCACCATTATTCCTTTTTTTGTACAGCAAACGTGGGCCAGGTTGTCAAAAACGTCATATCAATTTCAAATCATGAGGTAATATTGTACTTAATTTTTAATCCAAAATTTTTGTTATTCTAAAACTACACTCCAATTTCTTGCGTCTCCGATAGGGGTGGGCGTGGGTTGGGTTGGGTCGATTTTTGCCCCAACCCAAACCCAACCCAACATTGTCGGTTTGTTCGAAATCCAACCCAACCCAACCCATATAAATGTTGAAACCCAACCCAACCCAACCCAAATATGTGTCGGTCGGGTTGGGTTGGGTTGGTCGGTTTGAGATAAACTTATTGCATAAAAATAAAAATAAAAATCATCCAATTTTTTGATGTAAAATAACATTAATATAGCCATTCGGTGTCAATAAACTTGAAAAATAAAATAGTACAATCCATCAAAGAGAAAGGCAGCACAATGAGAGTAACTAAAACATATTCTGCAATTGAAAAGAACGAGAAAAAAGAACCAGTTGAAGAAACATTCCAACAGGAGGGCAATGAAATGCTCAAGACAGCTTCCTTGCTTCGAAGTGCCTCTGAAATGAATTTTGTCAGTAGCAAACTGTACAATGTCTTTGAAGCTTTTTCTTCTGATGGCATTACTGAAAATTCCAGTGACACAGATGCAAGGTCTTTCTTCTGCTGCATGTTCATCTAGCATGCTTTTCACTTCTGTAATGGCTTCTTCACTAAAAGAAATTCCCTGAAAACTGGCATTCCAAATCATGAAGTACAAGACCTTAATTAATATAACAAACATGCTAAAACTACCATATTAGTAAACCAAAACTATAGCTGAAAGCTCAACATATATAGTCAGGAATAGCCAGACTTCAACATATTAAGATTTCCATAAAATTGCCCAGAAATATGTATCCCAAAACGAGTGCAGAAACTACTAAGAGCTACATAAATATAGTACATGTTCACTGGGGACAGAAACTTGTTTTTCAACATTATTTTCTTCCAAGATTTCATGTGCAGATGGATTTTCTAAAAAAAAATTTACTAACAAGTCAGTTAGTAAAGGATTCAATCTTCAACTAGAGTTTGGTAATTTCACTGATTTTTTCCTTGTCTGCTTAAAGGTACATTGGAATTGAAGTTGCATTTGAACTTAAATGATTTCTCCCCGTTAAATTCAAAGACTATCCATCTGAATCATCAATTTTCTTTTTAACAAGTCGAAGCAAAATTAAATTACCCACACAACAATGCAGAAAAATATAATAACTAAATTCAAGCACAATCAATATAACAAATTTGTACAAAAAAGTTCTAAATATATACGAAATCTCAATTTCATAAGCACAGAGACCAATCATTCAAATTAAATAGGGAAACAACAATCGAAATGATTGAATCGTGAATATTGGTCTGCACTTGAAAAATCTTCTAAAAATGGGAAAAAAAATATTTGTAGAAAAGATGAATACCTTAAGAGTGGTCTCGGTCCTCTCGGATCGGTGGTTCCGGGTTCGTTGGTGGGTGGGGAAGGGTTGGGATTTGAGCGAGAGAGCAGATCGCTGGCGATAGACGGAGAGAGGAGCACTTTCTGTCTGTGGCTGCGCTGGACAGTGGAGTGTGGACTTGCCCTTTACTCTTTACGCTTTAGGGTTTTGTTGAAGACGTTTTTTTTTTTTGGTTTCGGGTCGGGTCGGGTCGGTTTCTATCGGGTTGGGGTTGATAACCCATGACCCGAACCAACCCGACCCGATTACCCAACCCGAGCCCGAAACCCGCCCAAAAATTTCAAAAAACCGACCCAAACCGGTCGGTTTGGGTCGGGTTGGTCGGTTTTCTCGGGTTGGTTTGGGTTTTGCCCACTCCTAGTCTCCGACTCTCCATGCCAACAGAGAAGAGTTCCAAAAATAAGGATAAAAAATCCATTAAATTCGATACCCGCCCGCCCCAGTCCCCAATAGGATGTGGATTACCTGCTTAATCGGGTATTCGAGACAAGAATGAGATGAGTGACTTCGCCTCGGGGTGGATCGAATAACAAGGTCCCCGCCTGCCCCTTCTCATTTAATAATAATTTTTAAAAGATTCTAAATTTACAAAACAATTTTTAATTGTATAAATATTTCTATTTTTTTTTTTCAAAACGTGGTTTTATTACCGAAGTAAAATCCAACACATAAAATATAATTTTGTAAAATATGCAAATTATAAACACCCAAAATGCAGTTTGTATTTTGTAAATTTCATGTGTTTGATTATTTAAAGAAAAGGGTAGAAATTCATTTAAAAGCAAAAAATTGGAGTTGGTTACAATAAGAAATAAATGTGGGAGACTGGGATGCAAAATGGGTAAGAGTTAGAGGTGGTGACTGCAATTTCTCCAAATAAAAATTAACTGAGAATAGTTTTGTAATCGAAATCATTTGCAAACGGCGTCCGTCCTTGTCGTTTTGGCTTCTTCTTCTCACCGGTTTCCTTTTCATTTCCAGTTCCAGCTTTGCAGGCCGACAATAATACAGTAATTGGGTGCGGTTATATTCTTCTACTTCCACTGTAGGTGATATAAGTATTTACTTTGAAGCATTAAGTTTGTATTTCAATTTAGTCCGTGAAGTTTAATCCTCGAATTTATGTAAAAACCAGGAATTCTATAGAATGTCAAGGTTTCGAGCTCTGTTGCAGGCTTCTATCAATGCAACTAAAAGAGGTATCTTTTGATCATTACCTCGTCATCCAATTAAACTTGTTTGAATTTTTTTAATCTTCACTATATTCTTGGTACAGAAATTAATTACTCCTTAACGGTGACACTTCTCGACATATCTGTTGTTGTTTTGCAGATGTAAAATTGTTTAGAATTTTTGAATTAAAGTTGTAATTAATATGCTGGGTTAATCTTGCTTAGGATATAACTTGAAAAGAAAATGAACTTATGTTGGTCTTCTAATAATTATATTCCTTCCTTATTTTAGAAGGATTTGAACTGCACCATTTCTACGGCTCTACAATTTGTTAATCTGTATTTCAAATACTGAAAAACCTCAGGCAATGTGTTAGTAAACTAATGGCATGAGTAGTTAAATCTTGTTTCAGTACCCATCAGCTTTTTATTCAACTGAAGCCTGAAGGGGATAATAAAGCTTAGATAGACGTTTCTCGAGGATTCAGGCTGGAAGCAAACTGGTGATTGTCATTTTGATTACATGCTAAAGCACTACAACATGTTTCCTTTTTCTAAATTCTCCCCACATGGTATTGGAATTCAATAATGCTGAGGAAGCTAAAAATCTTCAATTTAAGTGAATGGGTTATTGGTGAGAAGTGCTGTCATGTTAGTCTTTTAGCAACATATAGTCTTTCGTTAAATGCTGACTAGCTTTGTTTTTGTCAGAGTATTAATACACGATCATATATTGAGTGTAAAAAATATCCACGTTTCCATCTTTAGGGTTAGCCTGAAAGATTGTAAATTGGAGGTTGTTTAGGTGCTTCTTTCATCTCCCCGGACTTTTGAAGATGGTTGGTCTATTAGAAAATTGTTTGTATTTCATAAAATGGAAAATTAGCATCACCTATGTACAATCGCAGAGATCTATGAATTTAACATTATACTAAACTATACTCAAGTGATATCAGTCCTCGGGTATTGCCATCTAATAATTTGATAGGTTCCTGGATGGACATCCAGATGGAATGGAGTGATGCTGCAAATTGTAGTCTCTTCTTTTGAAAATAAAATAAAATAAAGCATCTAAATAAAATGAAATCTTTCATAGCTCTTTCCCTTTCATTCTCCAGTTATTGACTGAGTCTTCTGATGAGTACATTCATCACCTTCATCCTGTAATCATTTTGTTGTCATCTTGCAGCTTTAGTATGGAATGCTGAAGACTTAGTTCCACCAAGTGAAAAGTATATTTTCAATTTTAATTCAAAAGAGGAGCTTAAAAGGTGGCATTTGTATTCAGATTCTGAATATGGAGGTAATGTAGATTTAAAACTTAGATATCTCTATTCCCTGAATCCGAATTCTGGAAAGTGCAATGACCTAGACAGATCGAGTAAATAATCTTGCCTTTTCATACTGCACTATCCCATGTTAATGTATCTAAAAGAAACTACATTGCATTTCCACCCGTGTTTATAAATCTCTACCTATACACTCAATTATGCATACATGAGAAATCAACCAGTGGAAGATTGCATTAGTTTCAACAAAATATTGGTTGATGTTGAAATTTTAACTGAACTTATAATACTGCATTTTCTAAACGATGTTGGTGTTGTTACTAACTTACTATGTATGGTGCCACAGTATGTGCCACAAGAATTATTATAAAAGAAATGGAAATGCACAGGGACTCGTATAACGATCGGATATACAGTAGAAAACTAAAATTTGGCTTGAGAAATTTTCTGCTTCTATTGTTATGTTGGTCCAAGGAAAGTACGGATTTGTCTGCACCATTTGTGAGTTTTGTATATGAATGTTATGAAGGAATAGCTGCATATTTATTTTACTTTCTGAACTATCAAAGTTATGATTCTGATATGCTTCTTTTTTATTTGCTTTATGACATTAAGCCCTAAAAAATTTCTTCAATAATCAATGTAGTATTACCTTGTGAATATAAGAAGGCACTTTATACTCATGATGAAAAAAGATACAAAGAATAGTTATCATTTTTCTTAAAAAAATAAATGTAGAAAGTATGATGAGCACAGATATTAAGATTATTTTATTTTCTAGTCATTTAAATGTAAGTTAAAAAGTTGAAGAGACAATTTTTGAAACAAATGCAGTTCGTCAAAGTAATACTGCATTTCTACATGATGTCTCATGTCAGCATTGCTACTATGTATGGTGCGGCAGTATATGCCACAAGAATTATAATAAAAGAAATAGAAATGAAAAGGACTTGTATAACGATTGAATATAACTTTTCAGGCTTGTCATCTGCATCGTTGGAGATAAAAGAGTCTGGAAATGGATCGAGTGGTACTGGTCAGTAATTCTATCTCTTCCCTTGTTACTATACATAATGCTTATATGCATGAAATTTCTCAATTTTTCTCCTTTTTCATCTTACTTGTATGCGAGTAACTAGCTATAATCACAGAACAACTTTGATGGAAAGGTTATTTCTTAGTTCTTTGTTTTGGAAACAAATTGTAGTTGATACTAGCTATAATCACATAAGAACTTGGATGAAAAGTTAACCTTTCCTTAGTTCCTTATTTTTGAAACAAATTGTAGTTGATGTACCTTTCATCATCATTAAAAGTGCTTTAATTTGAAAACTTGGTCTTGTCTTCCAGTTTTATTTGTTGTGGCTGTGATGCATGGACACTTCTACTAAGACAGCATGTCCATGTCGATATGTATCTTGTAGGATCCCAACGCTTCTCAGACACTCAAGGACATGTATCCAACAAGCCACATGCCCTTGTCCCAATTTTTTATATTGTTTAAATTATTGACACTCAAGGGATGCTTTAGAAACACCCCTCTGGCTGCATGCCATATATTTGTCTTATATTAAAGATTGTAAAAAGAATATAATTTATGAAGTTAAAATTTTAAATAATTTAAATGGATGTGCCCTACTTTTTCGAAAATTTATGTGTCAACTTGTTTGTGTCACGTCGGACATGTCCATGCATGCGCAACTTAGGTTGTGGGATAACTAGGTCCAATTATGTATGGCTATATGTGTGTGTGTGTCTGAATCTATATATGTATGTATGTGCATGTACACAAACCAAAGACAATTAAGACTGTTTAATACAATTACTTTCCTTAATACTACTTCAGGACTCAACACTTGAAATACAATATTCTGGCATTAAAACTCTTCTGTTTAGGTTATCATCATCTTACGCAGTTTTGTTTTAATTGCTGAACCTTGATTATTTTCGATTTCTGTTGTAGGGGTATTTTCTGGGAACCTATCTTTGGATGTCAGTGAGAGTTCAAGATGGAACATAACTCGAAGCGGCTTTTGTGGAATGCGGTCTAAAAAGGTGTGTGATATTCATAAACTTCCTGCTCATCTGCAGATCAAGGGTCACACTGCTAAAGTTTGACTGGTGAAACTTGAGAGTTAATCGGCACTAAAATTCATGCAACAACCCTCTCAATCCTATTGCAAGTCATTCTTTGAACATTTAGAGAAATTAGGGTTTTAGCTTTGTCAGCAATTCGTTAGTGACTTTTCTAGTATTCACGCTAAAAAGAAAAATATGCTACAAGCCAAATTAGAACATATATCATTTGGCTGTCATATTTTGCTTTATAATGACTTCCTTATCCATTTGTTGCTTCTGTAGTTTGATGGCTTCATCGATTTGGATGGATACGACGCATTAGCACTAAAACTGAAAGGAGATGGGAGAAGCTATATTTCAACTGTGAGTACTCCAAATGCTATAACTCAACGGAACATGCCCAAGATTTGCCTTGAGTGCTTGAAGCTTGCAATGCTGTTAAACTTGGAAGTAGAGGGAACAATGCTATGTTGCACTACTGGTGTTTAGCACCATTCTATGTGACAACACGTGGTTTCAAATTATATGTCTAACTAAATGTAGGGATATGGGACCCATTAAATTATGCCTATCATTTATGTTACATGGTTTGCAATGGTGCTATACTTTCGTGTAGAAAGATTATGTTTCACCACTAGTGTTTAGCACCATTCTACGTGATGACACATGTGGCATTAAATGATAAGTCTAATTAAATGTGATGTTATGAGATTCATTTAATTGAATCTATGATATTAAATGATAAGTCTAATTAAATGTCGGGATATGAGACCAGTTAAATTAGACCCATCATCGAATTCCACATAGATTGGTACTAAACGCCAATGATGTTACATAGCATCACTTAAGTAGAAAACACAAATAAATACTCGAAAACTGATGGACCAAACTTGATTGAGCCTTCATCAAATTTTAATGCAGATTTATACTGAGAATTGGGTGAATTCTCCTGGACAACAAGAAGATAACTCATGGCAGGCATTTGTTTTTGTGCCTAAAGACAACTGGTATATTGCGAAGGCACGCTTTCTCGCTC